AAAAAAAAAAGCTCATCACTGATCATTAGAGAAATGCAAATCAAAACCACAATGAGATACCATCTCATACAAGTCAGAATGGCTATTAATAAAAAGTCAAAAAATAACAGATGCTGGTGAGGCTGTGGAAAATACTATTACACTCTTGGTGGGAGTATAACTTAGTTCAACCATTGTGGAAGATTGTGTGACAATTCCTCAAAGACCTAGAGACAGAAATACCATTTAACCCAGCCATTATTTTACTGAGTATATACCCAAAGGAATATAAATTATTCTATTATAAAGACACATGCACATGTATGTTTATTGCAGCATTATTCACAATAGCAATCATGGACATGACATGGAATCAATCTAAATTCTCATGATGGACTGGATAAAGAAAATGTGGTACATATACATCATGGAATACCATGCAGCTATAAAAAGGAATGAGATCATGTCTTTTGCAGAGACATCAATGGAACTGGAGGCCATTATCCTTAGCAAACTAATGCAGGAACAGAAAACCAAATACCATATGTTCTCACTTATAAGTGGGAGCTAAATGATGAGAACACATAGATACATGGGGGCAAGCAACACACACTGGGGCCTGTCGGAGGGCAGAGGGAGGGAAGAGGGAGAGGATCAGGAAGAATAGCTAATGGATACTGGGCTTAATACCTGGGATGATCTATGCAGCAAACCATCACGGCACACGTTTACCTGTGTAACAAACCTATATATCGTGCACATGTACCCCTGAACTTAAAATAAAAGTTGGAATTTTTTTTTAAAAAGAAAAAGAAAGAAAACTTTTACATTGACAGGCAAAGAAAACAAAAACAGTGCAGTAACTGAGGAGAAACAAAAATATGTGGTAAACAGAAGGAAATATAAATATATACATAATGTCACAGAAATGACAGAAGATATACATCCATAAAACAAGGAGAGAGTAGAGTATAAAATAGTTGTTTTAGCAATAAAAATGGTTTTTAACTCTAGAAGAGAACCTAGGCAATACCATTCAGGACATAGGTACAGGCAAAGATTTCATGATGCAGATGCCAAAAGCAACTGCAACAGAAGCAAAAATTGACAAATAGGATCTAATTAAACTAAAAAGATTCTGTACAGCAAAAGAAACTATAAATAGAGAAAACAGATAACCTACAGAATAGGAGAAAATTTTTGCAATCTGTGTATCTGACAAAGGTCTAATATCCAGCATTTATAAGGAACTTAAATTTATAAGAAAAAACAAGCAACCCCATTAAAAAGTTGGCAAGGGANAAAAATGGATTTTATCCTATCTGTAAAAGTTGAGAGTAGAATGTTAAAAATATAACAGAAAGGTTGTATTATATTATCAGACTGGGATCGGGAGAGGTGAATCAGGTAAATTATCTAAGTGCAGGGTCAGATCGTGCTTTTATTTAAAATTTGTATTTTGTTCAACATAATTTTTATACTAATATTGTTTTGTTTTTTTGGATTTTTGTTTGAGACAGAGTTTTGCTCTTGTTGCCCAGGCTGAAGTGCAATGGCGCAATCTCGACTCACTGCAAACTCCACCTCCCAGGCTCATGCAATTCTCCTGGCTCAGCCTCACAAGTAGCTGGGATTACAGGCATGCACCACCATGCTCGGCTAATTTTGTATTTTTAGTAGAGATGGGGCTTCTCCATGTTAGTCAGGGTGGTCTCAAACTCCCAGCCTCAGATGATCTGCCTGCCTCGGCCTCCCAAAATGCTGGGATTATAGGAGTGAGCCACCACACCCGGCCCAATATTGTTTTTTTAAGTACTAGATTAAACTGCTTTTTTTAATTAATGAATTTATTGGTGCCTGCTTGAATTTTGCACCCACGGGTTGGCCTTCACTTTCCTCACTCTTATCCTAGATCTAGATATGGGTGAGGAAATCTCTCAGAAAGTAGAAACAAAAGCAAACAACCACCACAAAAGAAACAAACAAAAATAGACAATATGGGAGATAAAATTTAAGAAAATTAGTAGATAAGTCTAGAAGATGAAATATCCAAATAAAAGAATTCCAGGGAAAGAGAAAAGAAAAAACACAGGGACAGGAATCATCAGAGAAATCATACTAGAAATATCCTAGAAGAGGAAGACAAGAGTCTCTACACTGAAAGTACTCACCAAGTACCCAGCACTGGATAAATACTCATACCAAGGCACATCAGTATACATTTTCAGAAAACTAGAGACATAGAGAAGATCCTATAAGCTTCCAGAGAGAACCCACAGATCACCACAGAGCATCAGCCACCAGAATGCCATCAGCCTTTGTAGCAGCAGTGCTGGAAGCTAGGAGACTGTAGAGCAATGCCTTCAAAACTCTTCAAATATTACTTTTGCACCTAGAATTCTAGACCAGGCAAACAATCATATATGATAGTAAAATTAAGACATTTTCAGTTATGCAACGTCTTAAAAAATTTACCTCTCCTGTAACCTCAGGAATTAATTTTGGAGAATGTGTTCCACCAAATCAGAGAAAATAAACTAAGAAAAAAAAAAAAGGAAGACAACCATTCCAGAAAACAGGGCATTTGATCCTGCAAGGAGGCAAAAGCATCCCGAGTGTGAGCTGGTGATGAAGGGAGACCTGAGGATGTTGGTGTTCTGAGCAGCAGCCCTCAGGAGAAACCAATTCAAACCAGAGCAAAAGGCCCCAGAGAACCAGGAGGATGGCTTCAAGAACAGGATAAAGTGCATCACTTCTGTGGTGTGTTTAAACATATTGAGAGCAGGGAAAGAGCCTCTTTAGCCAGATATTGTTAACATTATACTGACAGGGAAGGAGAGAGAAAAGTGTGGAGGAAGAGTTGGGCAAGCAAGTGGGTGGTGTAAGGGAATAAAACCTCATCATCCATAGTAGGAAATCAAGAGATGGTGGCCAACAAAAATATCCAAAAGAGCAAACAGCATATCATTCAGAAATAAGGAGGCAAGTGGATGGGGCAGTGGCTCATGACTGTAATCCCAACACTTTGGGAGACCAAGATGGGCGGATCACCTGAGGTTACGAGTTAGAGACCGGCCTGGCCAACATGGTGAAACCCCGTCTCTACTAAAAATACAAAACAATTAGCCCGGCGTGGCAGCAGATGCCTGCAATCCCAGCTACTCAGGAGGCTGAAGCAGGAGGATCACTTGAAACCAGGAGGCAGAGGTTGCAGTGAGCCTAGATCATGCCATTGCACTCCAGCCTGGGCAATAAAAGCAAAACTCCATTTCAAAAAAAAAAAATGAAAATAAAAACAAAAAAAGAAATAAGGAGGCAAACACAGAAGAAAGAGCGGAGGAGTGAGAATTGGAGATGAGGGAGAGAAGACTGTGGTGGTACCAGGGACTCTCACCTATGAATGGGTAAAAGCTCCATGACAATTTTTCAAGGATTTTGACCTCTTACCTTTGTTACATCTATCTGATCTGACCAGTTTCTGTTGAGGGACTCAGTGCAGTCACTGGTAGTGTGATGTTTGATGGACAGTGTGACATGGTAATAGCAGTAAAACATCACTGTCAAGGGCACAATAAAATTTATTGCAATAACTGCCATGGTGTAAGACACAAAAGATCTGAAAATAAGAAAAGGGAATCATGATTGCTCATTTAATGTATTAAATTGGGAAAGAGGAAAGAGGAGACAATTATTAAAAATAACACCAGTAGTCATTATATTGTTAAATAGTTTAAGAAGTATATTTGACTTTTAGTTCATTTAGGCCAGGAATTGGGAAACTGTGGACTATAGGCCTATTCCAGCCCATCACTCATCTTTGTAAATAAAGTTTTATTGAAGCACAGCCATGTGCCCTCATTTACATATTGGCTATGGCTGCTTTTACAGGATGATGACAGAGTTGAAGAGCTGTGATAGAGACCGTCTGGCCTATAGAGCCTAAATCATTTACTTCAAATCGTTTTCAAGACAGAATCTCGCTTTGTCACCCAGGCTGGAGTACAGTGGTACAATCACGTCTCACCGTAGCCTTAAACTCCCCAGCTCAAACCAATCTCCACTTCAGCCTACTGAGTAGCTAAGACCAATGGCTTGCACCACTACACCCAGCTAATTTTTTTTTCCTCTTTTTTTTGTAAAGACAGGGTCTCAATATGTTGCCCAGGTTGGTCTCAAATTCCTGGGCTAAAGTTATCTTCCCGCCCCAGCCTCACAAGGTGCTGGGATTACAGGCATGAACCACCGTGCCCAGCTTTTACTTTTTGAGTCTACAGAAGATATTTGAGATTTAGATCTGGTTTGAGATTTAGAAATTTTCTGGTTTGAGATTTTAGAAGTTTTTATGTTATCCTTCATTTCTTTTAATGAACTAAATTATCCTCTTGTTCCTGGAAAATATACAGAAGCCTCACTAACTAGCAGGCAAATCTTTGCAGTGCTTCTACTTTTGCTGTGCAGTTCTCAGAATGTGCTTGAACACCAAACCATCCTGAAAAGACGGCAAGGAGACAGCCTGGGCTCTTGCCAGAGCTGTATACTCTGTCTAGCTTCATTAACCCTTTCCCTGCTCATGATCCTACCTTTGAGATGTGCAGATATTGGAAGGGTGATTGGTACCCTGCGTTGCTGCCTTAAGAGAGAACACTGGGCAGGAAGGAAGGAATGGGGTGAGGGAGACAAAGAGCTGGATGACCTTTACTTGCAAACAAGCATTAGTCACTTTTCTCAATTCTGACTTTTGCTAGAATCACATCATTACTACCAAGTAAGCACTTTTCTCTCTCTGTATGAGGAACACATGATCTGATATTAAATTTGAAAGGGTGAGAAAATGTCTACGTTAGAAGCATTTGATTATAACATGTAAACTTGTCTCTTACCTATCATTTTTCCTCCAGTTTATGGTACAGGTAGCACCAGTAGGATCTGGGGCATAACTAGCCCACCCAATAATAGGCATCAAAGCCCAAAACAGGCCATTAATCCAGGCTCCCAGAATCATGACGATGTAAGTATTGGTGGTCATTCTCCTCCCTATTATCAAGCACAGAAAATATTAGCATCATTTGCCATTGATGGGACTCACTTTTTTAAACTTGCTTGATTCATAAGTGTTAGCAAGTAAATTCTTTACAGAGCACTTTAGTTGGTCTTAGGAGCCAAAACATGGATGCAACTCCAAATAAAATAATAAATATATTCTCCCTTTTTACCAAGCCTATATACGTAAGTTCACATTCTGGAAAAAAATGACATTTAAGCTGAAACCTAAATGAGAAAAAAACCAACCAGAGGATAAGCAGGAAGAGGAGCTTTCCAGACCTAGGAAAACAGTAAATATGAAGGCCTCATTCTGGGCTTGGTCCATGCCCCAAAGTGCGGGTGGCCTTACGAAATTTGGATTTTATTCTAAGTACAATAGGAAACCATTGAAACATTTGAACAATTATTGCCAAAGAAATAAGACTGACCCTAACTACAAACCATTAGGTTTATATATTAGCATACACATATTGAGTGGTCATTAGTCAAGAAATGATTCATTAAGAAAGCCGAGAAAAGTGCTGTACCTATGTCAGGAAGGCAGATGGTCAGATATCGGTCCACAGCCACGACCGTGAGTAATCCAATGCTTGCCATTCCAAAAAAAATATTCAATCCAGCATAAACCTGAAAACCAAAATTGAAAAGACTCTACCATTCTAAACACCCTCCCAAGAAACATTTAGATTTTTGTACCACTGTTAGAATATATCTCAAATATACCAAATGTTTTTTACTTTATTACTTTAAAATATATCTTCATTATCAAATTGTAACTTGTTTAATAAAAGACTTTAGGGTAAGTAGTTTGTAACTGAAAGGAACCTTTTGAATATTTTAAGACTTACAGTGAAATTTCTATACAACACTCTATAAACAGAATGCAGAACAACCACAAACCAGCAAAAGAGTAGTACTCTGAAGATGGACAATTCAACCAGAGGAAAAGACAAACTCAATAGAAAAATGACCAGATGATGAATGGGTTATTCACACAAGCCCATTGGCTTTTGAATATTTATAACATTAGACATACAACCACAATAAATATTCAAAAAAATACTGATTATCTGATGGCATTTCACCCCCATGAAAATGAAAATTTAAAAGTCTGACAATCCCAAGTGTTAAGGAGAAGGTGGAGTAATAGGCATTCTCATAATCTGAATAACTATTTTGGACAGCAATTTGGCTACTTCTGATAAAGTTGAAGATGAACATTCTCTACAACTTTACCATTCCACTTCTAGGCAATGTGTCTAGAGAAACTCACATATTGCAGAAGAAAACATAATAAGAACATTTATTGAAGTCTTGTCTGTGATACAAAAAAAAATGGGAACAAATGTCCAATAAGAGTAAAATGAAAAAGTACATTGGGCTATGTTCATAAAATGGAATATTATATAGCAGTTAAAATGAATGACTTACAGCCATATCCATCAACATAAACCTCAAAAACATAATATCTAACAATGAAAGGAAATTGCATAATGCAAACAATATGATATCATTTACACAAAACCTAAAGTATTCAGACAGTATCTGGTTTATGTGCACATATATAAGATAGAAAAACATTCATGGGAGGAATAAGATTGCTTTTTAGCAGCTTAACTTTCTCCTCTTCCTTCTTGAGGCCTGGGACTCTTCTTTTTCTATAGTTGCCTTTATCAAGCTTCAATTATCATACTATCCTGACAGCACTTTGGTATCAGTATCTGTATAGCTTTAGATCTTTAAAAAGAAAAACAATCTGAAGCACAGATTGCAAAACATTAAGATTTCACAAAACTGGTTGGAACTTATGTGGATATTGTGTATTCACTACTACATTATTCTCTATAGTTTTTAGCTTATGATAGTAAACTGTTAAAGGAATTAGGCCAAAAGTAATATTTGCCTAATATCTTAAAGCAAATTACTATTAATACGTTTTCTTTTTAGTAAAAAATAACAAATACATTTAGTAACAATTCTCATGGAGGTCTTCCTATAGGAAAAAATTCAACAACATGGTAGCTTAACTATCTTCCATAATATTATGATTAAATCACTAAATGCTTTATTGTTTCAGATGAAAGCAGGGTATTTCTTTCTTAATTTGTAATATGCAATTTTTCAGCTGAATATGCAAATCATTACTCTTCTCACTCAGTTGAATGCTAGTTGTTTTCCTTGTTTCTTCCTTTGGGTTAGGAGAATTTGGAAAATGTAACAATGATTAGTAATTTTATTTCTCTTATTAAAGAATATATTCCTAGTCATTTCTGAAGTTGTTTTCCATAAAAGCACTATATCTATTATCCTACAATATATTATTCGATTTAAACTCTTGGGATTCATTTTAGACATTTAAATTTACATTTCTTTAATCTATTTATTTTGCTTTCATTCTAATGATCTCCAATACCTGACAGCCTGCATATCCAAATTTCCAACTTCCATACAGATCTGAGGCAGCAGACATGGGATAGCCAATGCTACTGACCCCTACATCAGTAACAGCCAGGTTAATAATAATTGCATTTGTGGGTGTCCGAAGTTCCTTGTACTTAATGAAGATGCCCAGAACTATTATGTTGCTGAGAATACTTATCATACCTGAGAACACACACAAAAAATATGATGCATTTTGTTTAATTTGAATGTTTCGAAGTAGACTCAAAATTAAATATATAAGCCCCTTTAAAAACATAACAGATCTATTTTAGTTCATTTATTTGAAGAGCTCCTGCTGTTCTTAAAACTGTGTGTAACGTCTTCACATCCCTTCTGTGAAATAAGAAAATTAAAACACAAAGAATCTGCCAATTGCACAAGCCAGCACTGAAGGCTGGTTTTAATATCACTATTGAGTGTTCTGTCCTTGACCTTCCTTCATTGGCTTTCATACCATTCCTGCTGATTTTTAGGACAAATGCGTGACTGACCATACCCTCTTTTTGGCAGCTTAACTTCCTCCTCTTCCTTCCTGGGTCCTGGGGCTGTTGTTTTTCTATAGTTGCCTTTATCAAGCTTCAATTATTATACTATCCTGACAGCATTTTTGTCACTATTTCCAGCCATGACACAAGCTCCAGCTCCACATCTTCTCTTTTCCTTCAACTCATTGTCATTAAACATTTACTAAGCATTTACCATATGTAAAATTGTATGACTATTCCAGTATTTCTTGAAACTCAACATGTCCAAATTCTTCATCCAACACACACACACACACACACACACACACACACACACACACACACCCCTACCCCGACAGAAGAATGCATACTACAAGACTCGACTATCCAGAGAGGAAGTTGAACCAGCTTTTTGGTTCATAGAGAAGCCTCACAGCTGATACCAGCCTAATCAAGTTCTTGACTGTTTGCTTGCAGGTTCAGAACCTCATTGTTGTCAGTGCCCCAGATTGGTTGCACTGAGGCAGGCGGATAACTACACTTATCAACCAGAATGCCACTGCATTAATTTACACTGAGAAGTATTGTTGAGTGTACTGGATGTGCATGTTCAACATCCCCTACATGCTGTAAAGGGCAAAAGCCAAATATGGGCCATACTAGGTCCTAACGGGGTGTGGGGGCTGGGATGTGAATAGATTTCAGCCAAGAAGCTAGAATCATTACTGGATTACTAGAGACTAAAGGAGGGTTGTGCAACAAGCAGGAATAGAGTTGAATTCCTCGTCAAGGAAAGAATTACTTGGTGATCAATCCTCAACTATTGTCAGAGAGGGACAGTTTCCAAGCACCAACATACAACAACACCAGCTCAGTAAAAACTTTTATCATATCTTGGCACTTCATTCAGAACTTCCGTCTTAGCCTGTTATGCCAACCTTCCAGATTCCTGTTCTTTTCCCCTCCTTGCTTCTGGCAGAATCAGCTTGCTGTAACATAGAACTAACCATGGTTCTTCTCCTCTTGAAAACTTGTAATATTCCCCACTGGCTGTGGGATAAAAATCCAAATGTCCCAACCTGATATTCCAGGCTCTTTGCCTCAATCTGTTGTCACTCTCTAGAAGCAAATTTCTACACTCATCAAACGAACACTCTATTCTAGTTATGTCCCAGATACACCATGCTTGACTCATATTTCTCCCACTTGGAGCATCCTGCTCCTTCCTTCTGCCTATCCAAATGCCATCCATCCTTCAAACTTCAGTTCAAGCTCCTAACCCTTCTCCTACCCACACTATCCTCTCCGTCCTAAATCTCCGAATGACGTGCTTATAATATAGTCTTACGTGACTCTATATAATTTAACTGTTACTTTTCCTAGTCTTTTCATGCAGATTTCAGGCTCCTCATTATTTCTGTGGTTTTTGATTATGTGACATACAGCAGATTTATTTAACAAGTGGCTACAACTAAAACCCATATTGCTTAGTTTCTATCATTCCTTCGAGATAATTAGCACACAATGATAGCAAATTTGATGATTCTTTGGCCTTATTTTTAGCATCTACGATTGTCGCATGTATACAAAAATACTCTGAAGAATTTAATGAAGAATCTTTCTGGCTAGCTACAGATTCAATGATTTTTTAAAGTTAGATAAAGACAGTGCAGTAAATTGCTGCCTACCAAATACACAACCAGAATAAAGTAACTATAATTCTCGGAGTCTAAGAAATAATGGGGGGTATGAAGTAAACAGTTCAGTGCTTTTTTCTATTCTCTCTGCAGCTGTGCCAAACACTCTGCCTTGTTTCCCCAGATGCAGGTCTTCTAATGGGTATACAATAGATCACCTAGTTGTTAGGTTTTAGTTAAGCCCCATCTCACAGTCAGTCTAAACGCTAAGTAGCACTTGATGTTGACTTCTCCTTCACCCTTGAAACATTTTTTCTCTTGTCTTCTGTGATTTCCATCCAATCTCTTGGACAGACCCTTCTTGATCTACTTCCTGGCCTTTCTTTCCCCATCTGACTCATTAAATATGCGCATTGTCCAACCTTCTGTCTTGGACCCCTTTCTTTTCACATACTCTGAGTGATTTCTTCCAAGGCTATATCCTGATACTTTCCAGCCTCCGGACACTGAAACCCATGTGTCCAACTTTTTATTGGACACCTCTCAAACTGAACTGAGAGACTTTTTCACCTGCCTCAAACCTCTTCTTCCCCATGTATGTTTCTATCTTAATGAAGACCATCACCATCTATTCAGTAGCTCAAAAAAGAAACCTGAGTCATCTTTGATGCTTCCTCTCCTACCACAGTCTCATCATCCAATCATCAATTCCACCTTCTAGCTCTTGAATATATCTACTTCGTTCTGTCCCCACTGTCATTATTCCCTCCTCAGAATCACTGCAATGGCCTCCTATGTGGTTTCTTAGCTACCACTATAGCACATTTCTAAAATGCAAATCAGATCATGTCACTCTGGTTTCAAATCCTTTAGTGACTCCCTGTCACCTTTAAACCTTACATGGCTCATCACTGTCTGATACTCAGCCATCATTTTCAACATATCTCTCACCCTTCATTTTACAATTCATCCGTAATGATTTATCTCAGATCCTCGAATTCACCATGTCCTCTTACCTCCCAGCCTTAATTGGGGAAAGGGAGAGTGCTCAAGGACACTAAATTAACAAAATGTCTGTCGCACTGGAAGTTGGTAAGTTTATAGGAGCCAAAAACTAAATAAAAGATTAAATTAAAAATCTAAATAGGCTCTTGGTGAAAGTAACAAATGAAATAAATGCTTTCACTACACCCTTTCCTCATACTATTGGTTTTGATTTGCAAGTTTACATGGATTTTGTTAAAGGAGGAAAGTTAGGGGATCTAAAAAAAAAATGGATGCTTGATACAGGGTCAGAACAAAAGCATAAAGAGGTCAGATCTGCTTTCTTCAGTTGCTCCACAAGAAACACAAGCAAACCACACATACTTATTGTATACTTTGATAAAGCTGACTCTTGGAGTTATATGTGAGGGCTCTAGAAACAAAATGCCTGGGTTCAAATCCTGGTGTAGCTACTCAGATGTGTGCATTGGACAAGATTCTTAAGCTCTTCATCGGTATAAACTAGAGAAATAAAACTGAAAAGTAACTTACTGAATTAGTGTAAGGATGAATTATCCTGTATGTGTAAGGTTTTGGAACAGTGCTTGGCATATAGCAAGTATTCAAATGATAACATTAGTAGCAGTAGTAAGATTACTATTATTACTACTGTTACAGAGATAAGAACTAAATAGAATATTTTCTGCATGCTAATTTTGTAACCAGGTCAAAAAAGGATAGTTCTGGTTGTTTCTGGTTTTGGTTTTTTTTTTTTTTTTTTTTTTGGTCATCTACAAAAAACTAAACCAAACACTTGCATACAGAGTATTTCCATGTAATTGTCAAGAGATTTTCTCGCTCTCTTTTTTGCAATAACAAAGAAACTAGAACTTGTTTAGTACTTATCATACAGAGGTATTCAAATGAATGAGATAAGATGTCACTAAAATCACAAAACTTAACTGAGGAACTCACAATTTCTAGCACTGGAAGTAATATGTTGAATTATAAGGAAGAAACTAAACAATTATAAACTGGGTATAGGATGCTGTGTTATACTTTTCACTCTACTTTTGAATATGATTGAAATTTTCATAAAAGTCCACCCAAAAAATAATGAACCCAGTATAATACAGTGACTCCTAAAACTCGTTACGGAGTATAAAGTCGAAAATTAAGTGATTGCTCAATATAAAAGTTACACAATTCAATGATACAATCAAAAGATAAAGAGTTTCTACTGTCATTTCCCCCATCCCTTTTTTTCTGCAAATAATCCTTTACATCAACGAGTGTGTAGGGAGGAAAGGGAAAAAGAAACAAATATTTGCCCAACACCTACTATTGGCATTTATATATCATTTAATTTTACGCCTTATAACAATCATGACAGGTAACTTATTCTTATCCTTGTTTTACAGGTAAGAAAATGGAAGAAAAGGAGAAAGAACTTGCTCACAGTTGCAAATATACTAAAACATGAAATCCAAAATTCAAGAGTTTTCCAATAAGTATTCTAGAGCAAGCTGAATTTTCAAACTCTGTCCTTAATGACAATATACTCTGCTCTGTCTTCTTAGGACTTTTTCTTTCCAGAATCTTTAAGTCCTTAGTTAAATTCTACCACCAAGAACAAAAATATGAGGATTATGTATAAGAATAGTAAATGATATAAAAATACATTTTTGCCATGGTACATGCTCTTCTCCAATAAAAACTTTGACAATGCAATAACCAAATATATAGATTTTTATAAAAGAACTACTTATTACATAGAAAACTTTTCTCAGCCCCACTTCACTGCTCTTACATTACCAAACATTAAAATACCCTGCGACAATGGCCATCACTAATGCTTTCACTTATCTTTCACCCACATTCTCTTATTTGATTTACAGCCCAGAAATAGAATATCATCATCCTCATTTACCACGAGCAAGCCAAGTCGGATAAATGACTTCTCAAGGTTGGCCAATAATATGGAACTTGAAACAATGCGTGCCTTATGCTGAAAACTTCTGCTTTTCTTCGCCCTAAAGAAAGATAACTGTTAAACATCCATACCTGCCATAACCAAGTAAGTTGCAACAATATTGTGTTCAGTCTGTGAAAAGACCGAGCCATCTTCACTTTTAGAGTCTGAACTGTTGCCTAAATTATTTCTTAGCATTTTGGAGGGAAGATACTGAGACACCCTTCATAATAAGCCTTTGATAATTATGAACTGTTGTATGAGCTACTGAGGAAAGATCTTTCAGGACCAATCATTTCCACTTAGAGACCTCAAAGAAGGGCCTTTTCATAGAGGCCCTCCCTTAACAAATTTAATTGGGCTAAAGAGGAAAGGATTTTAATTCCCAGAATAAGGGAAAAGCTTATTAGCAAAACAAAAAGAAATACCAAGCACTACACATTTTAACCTATTTGGGCATTAGTCTTCAGTCTAAGGAGATTATCAAGCACACACATCACAATTAAACAATAAACCCAGGAAATCAGTGCAGGGGCAGACTTAAATGATTTCTGCTGGAAATCAGTTCTGTTATTAAAAGCCAGTCTTAGTCCTCTGAAACTATTCAGATTAAGGTCCCTGTTTTCTGTTGACCCTTCAAATTTTTCCATTGCAGCTCATTTTGTTTTTTTCTCCTTAATTAAAATGTTAGTGATAAATAAGTAATCTCCTTCCTACTTTCGAATCTCCCTCTCCCAAAGGTACCAGCATTGTTTGGTGCATATTCTTTCTTATGCTTTTCTCTGCTTATACAAATATATATTCATACAAGTGTTTAAGGTTTCCTCCACTTTTTTCTTATAAACAAAAATGAGGAAAAGAAGTATATATGTATATATATAATGCATATATAATGCAACTTGTTTTCCCCTAAGGCTGTATTATAAATTCCAGGTCAATAATCTCAGAATCTAATAAAGTCTAATTTATTAGTAGCTATATATTTCATAGCATGGATATAACATGATCAACTCCACCATCCACCTCAGTTAATTTATCCCATAGCTGGCTGGGCACGGTGGCTCACGCCTATAATCCCAGCACTTTGGAAGGCAGAGGAGGGTGGATCATGAGGTCAGGAGTTCAAGACCAGCCTGGCCAACATGGTGAAACCCTGTCTCTACTACAAATACAAAAATTAGCCGGGCATGGTGGCGCACACCTGTAATCTAAGCTCCTCAGGAGGCTGAGGCAGGAGAATCGCTTGAACCCGGAAGGCAGAGGTTGGAGTGAGCTGAGATTGTGCCACTGCACTCCAGCCTGGCCAACAAGAGTGAGACTCCATCTCAAAAAAAAAAAAATTATCCTAGTTTGATATGCACGTAATTAAAATTATCTGATGATAGTAATCATTTTATACATTGCCAAAGTATCTGAATTCAATCACTGATATTGTAAAGCAGAGTAAAAATATTCTGAGTTATCACATTATAACCTGAAAACTAACCCAAACATGTTTTGTTAGAATAATAAGGTATCCCTATTACCTTTTTTCCCATATTCTTTATTCCATTCACATTATTAAAATCTGATTCTTCTCAGCAAGTTTCTTAAAATCAGTAAACATTAGAGAAATGCTTAGATGCACCAAAGTTAAGTGTAAGCATTAAACAGAACCACTAGAGGGCTATATTCACCCACTTAGTTTAATCTTTTGTAAATCCCAGAATGGCACAGCAGAAAGAAACCTAAGATAATCCTTTTGCCTCAGTTCTCTTGCCTGTGTATAAACTCAAGGTAAACAGGTAGACTTATCTGTCCCAAATCTTATAGCTACCCATACTCACATTTTATAAATGTAATGTTGTTATCGTACCTATACCAGAAAAGCAAATCTCATCAGTATTGTTTTCAAATGACCCTAGAGCAATAAACATAATACCTAAGCGGAAAGCACTTCCTTTTAAAAAAATCTATTTTTTCTTTCTTGCTTCTCTCTTTCATTCAATATGCAAAATAAAACTTAAAATTTTCAAATTCGCTTTGCGTCATACTACATTCCTCTTCTGTGATAAGTTATACCTAGTTGTAGCATCCATTAAAGATTTTCCAGAAATATTTCTAAGAACTGAAAAAAAGGTAATTTCAAAGACAGCTTTCTGCTGCAGGCGCAAGTTTTGATATAAGTGAAGTAGGTGCATTCAAAGTTCTTTTTTATGCTTCATGAGTGATACAGAAAAGCTGTATTGGGATAAGGCTTAGAATACATGTGAATTTGATTAAAAATAAAATGCCTCAAAAAAACCCAGAAACTAGGCCAGGCACGGTGGCTCATGCCTGTAATCCCAATACTTTGGGAGGCCCAGGCTGGCGATCACCTGAGGTCAGGAGTTCGAAACCAGCCTGACCAATATGGAGAAACCCCATCTCTACTAAAAATACAAAAATCAGCTGCGCGTGTTAGCACACGCCTGTAATCCCAGCTACTTGGGAGGCTAAGGCAGGAGAATCACTTGAACCCGGGAGGCAGAGGTTGCAGTGAGC